CCCCAAAACCCCAAAACCCCAAAACCCCAAAACCCCATCAACTAAATTTAAAGAGAAATCTAGCATTTAAAAATTAAATTTCATAGTATCAATTATTAAAAACACCGAGCTCAATAGATTTACCAGCAGGAATAAGATTTAAACTTGATGAAGGAATCGGCTCTCCAGTGTAGCTATAAATTTGTTTCTCAAGTGCACTCGGGCTGTTATGACTTTCAGCAATATTTACTGGTCCTTCACTGTACTCATTTAGCATATTCTTCTCATTTGGAGACATAAAACTATATCCACTGTGAACCTTGATATCTTTGCCCTTAATTTTTTAGAGCCCCTCTCTCTGGTTTTTTTCATTTTCCCAATACTTATCAAATTATGGGAAGCAGTTTCTAACATCATATACAAATAATTGGGGTAACTCTTTATTATTTTCAATGACAAAGCAAAAGAATTTTCCAAAGCCATTATACACTATATTACCAAACTTTTTCTTAAACGGGAAGGGCTTCAGATCCTTCCATTTTGAATTACTTGTCTTTAGCGCAAATACTCTACTCTCAATTTCATAAATCTTTTTGCTTTCTTTGGGTATAAAATCTTCTTATTTCTTTTTCATACCTCCCATTATCAAAATATAATCTTTATTTAGACTAAAGCTGAAGAAGTTAGCCATTCTCTGAGGCATTTTAATTTTCATCACAGTCCATATATCCAATGTTAAATTGAATCGTTCAATACTATCCAAGAAATCTCTTTTGTCAAGTCCACCAAAAAGATACAGGAACTTGTTGCCACACTTAGTAGAACTTGCATTTATCCTGGCATGGTTAATTGCCTCAATCTTAATCCATTTCCTAGCCTTGAATGAAAATTTCTCGACAAGATTAAGTAATCCTCTTTTGTGATTGTAGCCTCCAATCACATAAGCGAATTCATTCTCATAATCAGGGCAAGTTGCAAAGTACTACCTAGCTTTATTTAGTTGGGAAGTCTATTGAAGTTTACCCTTATCGTCAAGTAAGAATACCTTTTTACTCGATAATGAAGGATTATCTCTCTCCTAACCCCCGATAAGCAAGAATCTATCATCTGGGATATACATGGTTTTGAAAAATCTGGGAACATCATGTTTGGACAACTAATCCTCATCATAAAATTTAAGTTCTTTAAAATCTCTAAGTTTCTCATGATAGTTAAACACTTGAAGTTGATAAGTGTTGAAAGCTACCAGTGGCATAGAAAAATCAGAATTATCTGTAATCTTGCCAAGCTAATCAATGTTCTCTAATTCCAAAGCAAGATAGCTAAAAGTTGAAAATTTAAAGTCTGAACTCTTAAAGAATTAGGACCCCTTTTTCAACTCTGTTTCTATAAACATAAGTTCTTAGACTTGGCCATCAAGAGAAGCCTTATTTGCTAGATAATCCATCTCAAAGTCAAAATCATTTAAAAACTCAGTGAAATCTAGACTATAATTCTTAAGCTCATTCAAATCTCTTTCCATTTTCATCTGCTTAGATTTAAGTTTACGCTTCTCTTTAGCCTCTATGTTCTTATACTAATTCTTAAGATGTTCTCTTCGCTTATTTACTCGTTCTACAACTTAGTCAAAGAACTAGTCAATTTTATCATATATTTGCTAGCGATAGTTGTTTATCTAATCCTACTTCTACTTGCACGTTTGAATTTTATCATCAAGTCTAGTCAATAATCCCTCTATTTTCTCTCTGATTCTATTACCTTCCTTTTAAAGATTTTTATCTAAAATCGTTTATGTTATTAATAAATACTTAAGATCGTGTTTTGATCAGAGTTCCTATTCTATCCAATATCTTCCATTAAAATTAATTCAATTATCTTAATTGCATATTAATGCTAATTAACTCTTATGGGGTTTTGGGGTTTTGGGGTTTTGGGGTTTTGGGGTTTTGGGG